AGTAATATAATATCTTTTATAATATAACAATATTAAAATATCATAATAAAATCCAAGTATTTTTAACATAATATAATATGCTATTAGTATAATAAGGTAATAACATAATATTATAATAAAATATATTAAATGGTCCCTATTTTAATAATCAATATTTTTTACAATTAATAATAACAACAACATCATCCATAAATAATATTATTATATTATAAATATAATATTAATAAGTTCTTCAATAAAAATATATAATAAAATATTCACATAATATGATATTAATGTAGTAGAATATCATGTTATTATTACAATAAAAATACAACGACACTATATATTTTGATTCTAGTATAATATTATTATGTTATAATATTATAATACTAACATTAATAATGTTAATGATATTTCATGATAAATATTTAGAATAATAATAATATTAATAGTACTAATAGTAATAAATATTAAATATAAAATATCATAATTATAGAACAATGTTATTATTATGAGGAATGAAAAAGACAAAGGGCAGGAGGCATGTACCCCAATGCAAAAGCTACCTTTCTCAAAACCTTGGATCCGCTCATTCCATGTCAATGCTGAACATGAGGGGTTTTGAAGACGTGGATATCTTGGATATGATCTCAGCAAAATCGTGACATGCGGGGTTTTGAGGATATGGATATCTGGATATAATCTCAGCAAAGTGATGGGACGACTTGGGCTTGAAGCACCCCCAATTCCAACTATTACAATCAAGGTACTTATAAAAACTTGTTACTAACCCTATGTGAGTGAAACTAGAGCCAATGAATCACGGAGTTAAGGATAGGTTGCAGGCAAGTTTCACAAGCTTGTCTATGCTCATTACAACTTCAAAAGTAAAAATTGAAATAAAAATTGAGGAAAATGGAGGACTGCAACCCTATCAAATTGGACCACATATTTGTCGAAGATTTAACATACGAGTGGTTGGTGGAAATGGAAGGGACTAACTCTCAATAAGAAGGTACTTAACAAAGAGACGGTACCCATCAACAAGGAAAGGAGAGAATGAAGTTGGACAAGTTGAAACAAGGATACAAATTGACGAACACGGGGAAGATGGTGGAAGAGATGATGACAGTGAGGATATCAACAGTAATATGGGGGGACCATGAGACCTTGTGCTAGAAGCTCCGAATCACTGTTGAACAACTTCATCATTCATGTTGCATATAGATCCCAGTGTTTTCTATTTATTTGAGTTGTGACTCTAGTCAACATTATGTAGTATCCACTTCTTTGCCTCATGGATACATTAGACTCCTTTTCATTGACCTCTTAGCAACAGCTTGTGAATTATAATCTGTAAATACAGAGCTGTATGTTGAAACTAGGAAATAGTTTTGAACATTAAAATTCAAATGTATATCTGTATTGCTATGTACTAGAATGGACCATTGAATGCATGCCAAATGGTGAAGAAGTCAAAATGTATTCATAACCCTCAAAACCTGTAAGTTTCTATGTTTTATCCATATAATTACATTTTATCTATATTGTTTTCCTCATTTTTCCCTTTTCTGTGATTTGTTTTTTGCTAGTGACCTTTTCTATGATATTTTATCCACCGTTTTATTTGAAAAGTAGGGCAGGCTCGCTGAACCAATGGATCAGGACATCACTGAATCCATTCCTGGTTCTGGGTTTTAAAACATTTGAGCAAACCTGATCCCGTACCTGGTACCAGGTTTTAATACACTTATCAAAATTTACTACATATTTATTGACCGATAAATCAGCACTTTAACCTATACATTATAATTCCCTGTGGCTTGGGAACGTGGGATAATTCATTCAGTCACAAGCAACAAGCAAGAAGTAGCAGACAACACACCCACCATAATTCTGTCATAGGATGCAATAGTAACCTTTAGAACCAACCTACCAGAAGCATCGACACCAAATAAATTGGCAGGGAAACTAGACCTTTGTAGTATGTCGCAAGGGCCTCACCATTGTTCTCCCGCTTCCCTATTGCCCACCATATGACCACCAATACATCAACCGACCCATCTTCACACCAATCTGCAAAAAATCATTTCAAATTCCAAAAAAGGACTCGCCTCCTGCTCCTTGCCAATAATTTTCTAATATTCATGCCCCCTTGAAGCATTTAATTGGATCCTGAAAGACAACCTTTGTTCAAGTAAACAAGATTTCCGGCATTGCTTATAGAAGAGAATGCCTGCTTCTTCTCAGCCTCTTCAATGCAATACCAGTAAGATTAGACAGAGCACGAGAGAGAAAGTCCCTCATTACAATTTATGGCACCGCCCCACAGAGCAAGTTTCTACACTTCAAGCTGAAAAAAAATTGGCAAAATTTTATCCCCTCGACCTCTTGGAGCCACCCCTTTCACAATGACCAGGCAGGGTCCCCATCAAGAATCTTTTTGACGGCCTCTCAAACCAGTAGCTCGACCTTTACGTCCTGTAGAAAGACCCAATATATGGAGAATAAGAGAGTCTCAGAAGGCTGGTTATCAGGTGAACTAGCGAGAGCAACAGAGAAATATCAAACTTAGCAAAAAAAGAGAGATGCAGGTGAGAGAGAGAAATTTTCATAATTATACCAGGAGATGCCAAGCAAATTTGCCTCCTCTGAAATCGTCGGTCTTGATCATCTAGGCACTCTGTCGAAGCACTGATGCCCACACCATCTTGTCCCTGCAGTTTGGAACACCAATTGGCTTCACAAAGGCCACAGAAAATATCATTACTGTAGAATGTGGATTAAAGTATGTTGAAGTTGCACCAATACAATGCCTTATCACATAGTGTCTAGGATGCGAAGCAATTCTTGGCCCCATTTGATTTTATATTTATAGCAACATTTGGTTTCCAAATTTATACCACAATTGAGTTTCATATAAACTACTAGACATGGATATTTCATTGACAGTACCAAGCCAGAATTATGTTCTTTAGAAATGTTAGTTAATCAACAAGAATACAAACACATTTCCAAGCAATGGACCTTTTGTAAACCATAACTCAGATTCTGAAGTCCAAAAGTTTTGCTGGAATAATGTTTTTCTATTTCATTCTTTTAGGTAGAAAGGCAGATTTGGTGCTCATAAATGCCTTACAAATCAATAGAATACATAGAGGAAATGACTTGACCACAGAATTAACTGAACAGAAAGTCTCAATTAGAATACTAAAGGAAGGCAGTTCAAGGAAAAAAATTTATCACTTGATGCATCCACTGAAATGCAAAACCAATCAGGGGTAAAGATCTCCAGATGATGGAATGGAGCAGATTTGACTTCTATTGAAGATACCAAATTATGCAACCGCAATAAGAAGGGTTCGCCACATGATAATGTACCTGAGGAAATGCATTGCCTTGTGTATAAAGGTATCAGATTGACAGATTCATGTGAGATTGGTCCCAGCAAAAGACATTTTTAAACAAAATATCCCCTATTAGTACACATGCATGTGCACATCCAAAACCTAACGACAATTGTCAATCAGTATAAGAAAAGTGCAAGAAATGTTAGTATCAATTCAGGAAATCAGAACAGTTGCAAGACGCTTTCTGGCTTCACTTACCAAGGAGATTTTATCTTCGTTGTCAATATCATTTTACTCCGAACTTTCCCAAACATGCTATCATTATCACTTAGTGTTTACACTCCAATCTGCGCCAATCTCTGAGATGAGATTTGCTCAAATCTTTGCAAAAACTAAGTTAAAGCTGAAAAGATAGAGAAAGTGAGGTAGCTTGAATTATGGGCTCAGAAAATCCTAGATCTATACAGATCCGGTCTTTTTCTGAGTCCACTAGCAGCCAGCTCCAAATCCGTATTAAAATGCTTCTAAACTTAACTAAATCTAATAATAAATTAATTTTCAAAAATAAATAAAATAAAACAGAGAATTAAATGAAGAAAGAATTAAATTAAACACAAAAATTAATAATTAGCTCTAGGGACCCGAAACCCGAAGTTTCGGGCTTGGATCAAGTTGCTCTTCTAATTTGCGCTACCATCTCTTTTTCTGGATGCTTTATGCTTGCTGAAATTGGTAAATCTAAAGTTCCTTGACCTAGATCTAGGGTTCCTAAGGCATGAAAAAAGCTTGAGAATTTTAGGTAGGGTTTACGTAGGCTTTTCTTGAGATTTGGAAGAGAATTTCTTTAGTTTTCTAATATTTTGGGATCTCCTAAGGTAGAATCTAAGTTCTCCGGTTTTTTGGACTTTTTTGGGATTTTTTCTAATTTTTCTAAGGATTTTTCCGAATTGGAGGTATTGTCTAGGTATTTTTTCTAATTTCAGGAATTGTGTCCTATTTTCTAAGGATTTTTTGGGGATTTCTGATGTCGCTTTCTGGGGTTCTTGAGGGGGTATTTATAGGCTTCAATTGAATTTTTTTTTTTTTTTTTGGACTTATCTTGAATTTTTGGCTTTATCTAATTAGAAAAAAACACGTTTACTGCATCATCAGGCCGCATTTGGGCCTGCCGAGCTACGACACGGCCTACCCCAAGGCCCAACATTTGGGTCTCACTGAGATCAAATTGTCATTTTCTAAATCTTTCTTTAACTGTAGGTCCGATTTGGGTGATTCTTGGACCATTGGAAAGCTCTAGGGGTCTACTTCAACATGGGATAGGTTTTGGACAGGTTTAGGTCAATTATATTGGTTCTAGGTTGCCTATGATCTACTAAGGTTTGTGTGGTTCTGTGTGATCCTTTAGACTCATAATCAAGGTTTTTACAAATTCCCTTAGTCGGAATCGAATGCGAACAAGAAGTTCAATTCGTTAGGAATTTATCATCCCATCATTTCTTCTAAATCAAACTCCCATTTGTTTGGAGAGCCAGACCCCAAGAAAACAGTCTAAAGTCGAAGATGACTACACTGGCAGCTTCCCAAATAGCATTGGGGTGACTACAATAAGGAGTGTCACCAGTTCAAAGATAGCACGGCTCTTGTTGGCTGTCACTTCAGATCCCGATTGTCGGAGACCTCTCAACTGCACTGACTCAAATATAGCAATGTCAATTCTATGTCTTATGGATCACAAGCATTCATCGACGTACCGCCGACTTAAAAGGGTACTAGTCATTCAAAAGAATGATCCCTCATAAATCATTTCCTCCCCATTGTGTCTCAGGTGTCTACTTCTATGTCATTCACCTGGTACCTCAAGTGAATGCCAAAGCGGGGCAATTGTAGATACCCCCTCGAAATTCTGGCTAAGTGGACTACTAAAAACTTCAATTCTAAGACTAAAAGACCATACAAACCTTAATAATAGGCAAACTAGACCTAATATAATTGCCTCAAAATTGCCCAAAACCTATTTCGAGTTGAAGTATATCTGGAGAACTTTCCAACGATCAAAGAATCACCCAAATCGGACCAACGATTAAAAAGATTCAAAAAATAATAATTTGGTCCAACGATCAAAAAATCACCCAAATCAGACCAACGATTAAAAAGATTCAAAAAATAATAATTTGGTCCCTATGAGACCCTACAAGTGTCGGGCCCCGAGGCGGGCCGTGTCGGGCCCCGAGACGAGCCGTGTCGTGGCCCGACAGGCCCAAACGCGACCTAATGATGCAGTGAACACGTTTTTTTAGTTAGATAAAGCCAAAAAATCAAAATAAATCCGAAAAAAAATCAATAAAAATCCCCACTTGAAGCCTATAAATACCCCCTTCTAAACCCCAGAAAAGACATCAGAAATCACTAGAAAAGAGGGCGCAATTCATGAAATTAACAATATTAGCCCAAAAATACCCAAAATTAGGAAGAAGCCCTAAAAAATTCCTAAAATATTAGGAAAATCCCCAAAAATACCATAAAATCTCAAATTTTGGATTTAATCTTAGGAGCACCCAAAAACTTTAGAAAACTAAGGCAAATCCCTTCTAAACCCTCAAAAAAACCTAGATACACCCTACTTAGGAACCCTAGATCTAGGTCAAGGAACCTTAGATCTACAAATTCCAACAAGCATAAGGAATCCAAAAAAGGAGATGGTGACGCAAATAAAAAAAGCGACATGATTCAAGCCCAAAACTCCGGGTTTTGGGTCCCTAGAGCTAAATATTTATTTTTGTGTTTAATTTAATTTTTTTCTTCATTTAATTCTATGTTTTATTTCCCATATTTTCGGAAATTGATTTTTATTACATTTAGTTAAATTTAGAAGTGATTATAAGTCAAAATACCGATTTGGAGCTGGCGCTACCAGTGGACTCAGAAAAAGACCGAATCTATATAGATCTAGGATTTTTCTGAGCCCATAATTCAAGCGACCCCACTTTCTCTACCCTTTTCAGATTTAACTTAGTTCTGCAAAGATTTGAGTAGATCTCATCCCAGAAATCGGCATATATCGAAGCGTGAACACTTAACCAAGGTTGCAATAACTCTTACTGAAACTCTGGCAAGGGATTTGAAAGACAAAGAAGGATAATAGTCTATTGTTCAATGGAAGAAAAATCTTTGTGAGTTCGACCATTAGAAACATAGTTGGTTCAGCAGCAATAAAAAACATTTGTTCATCTTATAATGACCAATTATGTCACTACGTTGAAATCCAATCTTGTATAGGGATTCATGATATGTAAGTTGTAGATCTCTTTAGATATTTTAATGCTATATCATCAATTTAATGATACGGCCTAAGAAGAGTGAGGACTTCAAACTTTCCTTTAACCCATCCCAAGCCTAGGTAAAAGAGGTGGATTGTGTTAGGTAGGCAACGAACGTAAAACTTTGCTAAAAACTTTTCAAGGATCCTAAATCTATGGTAGTGAGAAAAGATATGAGAACTTATGGTCTCACTGAGAGTATGGCCCTTGATAGAGCAGAATGACGGACCAAGATTCGTATAGGTGATGCCAAATATTTTGGGAAAGGCGATGATGATGATGATAGTCAATTTAATGACAAGAAAACAGAATTGAGCATCCAATCTTGCTCATCTGATTAATAATTTCTTCTACAGGAACATCACATGCATCAAAATACCACATATTCATCCCCATCCGAGTACGATAGTTGTCTTTAACTAAGTCGAGAAACTGAATTCTAATTTGACAATTAGCAAAATAAAACATTACTCAAATCTGGGAATTTTTTATGGAATACACTACTCAGATAATTTTACTTGGGATAGCAGTGATCTTATACTTCAGTAGTGCCACTTCCAACCAGCACGCTAAATGACTCATCTATGCTTTGCAATTGTGAAAAGCAAAAGATGTCAAATCGTTAGATGAAGCCGCATTTTAATTGTGAAAAGCGGAAGATGTCAAATCGTTAGAAAAGGTCTCTGGCCGAAATGTTGGCCATCAAACTATAACAAAATTAGGATTTAAAATGAATCATGACCAAGTTCCTCCTTAGGCTTATAGATGATGAAATTTGAGCACCACATCCAATCTCCTGAACTAGTTGTGGATTACAGTGCTCAAGTTATAAAGGATGATTACCCCCTCAGCTCAAGAAATAAGTTACCAATTCTCCATTGCAAATACACAATGGGGTTATCGAAGAAATAGACAAACATAAAACCTTCCTCTTTTTTTTGGAGATGGGTGGATTTTTTGTGGGGTGAGAGGGAGGGAATTGGAAGCAGTCAATCAGCAAAATGATCGAAAGGCTGATGTATAAATCCAGAAGAGATTGTGGGATTCGCACGCAGATATCCTAGATGAAGTAGCATGAAACAACAAGAAATTTACATGGACATGTAAATCTACGTCTTGGTATACCTATGCAACAATTACTATATTCAATGGAGAGCTTTAGGTTTAACAGGGTTATGAATTTTCCTTCATACACTATCCACAACATCAATCTAAGTAACTGATGATTATCCACAATATCATTTGCATAACCAAATTTATAAATCATACTCTAGTACTAGACTTGGCAACCAATTACAAGTGACATTCATATACATGTCATAATTATAAAGAAAAATTTACAAGTTACATTCATCCAACTGCAAAAGTCATCATTATAAAGAAAATTTACAAGTGACATTCATCCAACTGCAAAAGTCATCATTATAAAGAAAAATTTACAAGTGACATTCATCCTACTGCGAAAGAAGGATATGACTAATAATTTAAAGATGGATGGATCAAAATCCAGTGAAACAACTCAGTTCCTTTAAATAATACAGCTAATAAATAATGCATGGGCGGAGATAACAAACTATCATTTCAAACAAAGCCAAAAACTTATCAGTTCTGTTTTCTTAATTTCCATGTCTTGTATTCATTCATATTCCATATTGAAAAATTAAAGTTTTAATAACTCATGCCAAGAAAAGCACTTTTATGTGTTTATCAAATCCTACACAAATGGAAAACGAATATAAATGTGGTGCCTATGCATGCCCTAAAAACCAAAACACAAACACAAATATGCATTCCAAATTTCCAAAATGGAAAAGCTTCAAATATGTAGAAACCAAAGAACCAAATTTCATTACCTTCTTGTTTTGCCCTAACCTCCTCTTCTTCAAGACCAAGCTCTCTCCTCCCCTTCCCTTTCCACACGAGTTACCTTTTCTCTCTCTAACCTTCCACACGTGCGCCTTCCTATATATCACTTTCTCGCTCTTCCACGTGGCAATGCTCGTGTCGATCACCGTCACCTCCGTCCTTGAACAGGAGGATATGTCCACGTCAGCATCGTCGCGGGACCCACCGCCCACCCCGCTATTATTATCGGCATTATTCCTCGCTGAGAAGTTCGGTAATTCCTCGGCGGATAGGGCGCAAATCCTCGGCCTCGATTGCTTCCTCCCGTTTTTTCGGTCCCTCGAATCCCTAAGCCGACGGAAATCGTACGAACCCTCCATGTTGAAGAGATCGGACAAAACATCCGTCATAATATCGAACCATGCCCCTGGATCTCGCTTGGTGGCCGAAAAACCGCTAGCGTTGATCAGGTTAAGGCTGTTTTCCGGCGAGTGACATAAGAGCGGAGGGGAAACATCGCCCGAAAAGTTAGGGTTAGGGCTAGGGCTAGAGCTTTTGAGGAAGTTTTCCAGGTTGAGGCCATTGTCGAGGGGGAAGCCCTTTGAGGAGCGGAGCTTGTCGAGCCAGTTGTGGGCTCCAGGGATTGTAGGACAATGCATTTGCATTTTGTAGAGAGAGAGAAAGGGGGAGGGTTTGCGGGAGAGAATGTGACTTTTAGAAAGAGAAGGGCTGGTTCTTAAAGGGTGGGTGCAATGATGGAGGATTAGGGTTCTTGGGTCATTTGACAAGGGGACCTGCTCAAAGGGGTTCCTGTAAGTTTACAATAATTATGAGGAACCCCTACCGCAGGCGTTCCCTGTAAGTTCAATAATTATGAGGAACCCCAACCGTAGGGGTTCCCTGTAATTTTAACAAAATGACGAAAATGCATAACTTTGTTGAGTTGACCAAAAATACCCCTGCCATTTGGATTGCGTAATGTACACCGCTCGCTAATCCCGTTTGTTTTGCTGGTGGATAAGCGAATCGGCGCCGTGGGTCACTGGAGCCATAACTTTTGAAGATGGTTGGTATTTTTTAAGTAAAATTTGTGAAAAATAGAAATTATTTTATTTAAAAAATTGAAAGTAATATTTTCGGTATTATATTTTATTCTCGAGTTCCACTTTGGAAAGCAAACATCGTATTGTAATTTTATTTTTGTATTTATAATATTTAGCAAATTGGGGCATTTGTACTTTATACCATCACGCAACTACAAAATATATGAGATTAATAACTTGAAAAGAATAAATTGACCAAAATACCTTTGAAAGCTAAAAGGGTATTTTGGTTATTTTATTTTTTTGAATTATTTTATAGAATTTTAACATATGCAAGAGGCTCAAGTTTCAGACGCCTATAATCTGAGCATAATCCATTAAATGATCATCATCATCTGAACCCTCAAACTATTAGGGTTAGCTTTATTAAAGACTATCTGTTTAGTTAGAACATAAGTCATCATATTTTTTTCTTGTTATTTTTATTCTTGTCCTTTGGAGCCCTCTCAGGCTCCTTTTAGAGGCTTGCAGTTGAACCAAATCATCTCTCCTAACTGGTGCTAATCTAGATCAACGTTGCATATGAATAGACCACTTAAATTTTCCACTGACTACTAACCTAACACAATCCTCATTCTTTCTCATCTAGACATGGGACCGGTAATGGTGGAGTTAGCTTAAGAAAATTCTAAAATACAATATATATTTATTAAGTATGAAATATAAAATACGAAGGATTTATTTTTAAGGTATTATATACAATAAGACCATTTACCTTTAGTATAAGGAAGTCACAATTATCAAAGGTACAATTACTTATAGCCCTTCATTATGAAATTTGATAGCTTGGGTTTGTCATAAACTTCAAGAAGATTTCTTTGGAACTTTACGCTTAGTCAATAGAATAAATACAGTCACCCAATTTCACATTCAATGGTTAAGATTAATTGTGACCATCTTGCTCATTATATACTTTTCCTATTTTTAAAAACCGCTAATAAAATTTGACATGTCTAAGAGTTTTATTTTTTCTATTCTTTCCAAGTTTGGGCGTTTGGGTGCCTTGAGCATATCATTGTGAACCTCATTTATTGTATCTGACAAGTTATGAATACAAATAAGAGTTATAACCAAAAGTATTTGGTGCGTCAGGGACGCAAGTATAGGGCTGAGTTGTTACACCAAACACCTATTGTAAGAAAAATATATCAAGAAAAAGTATATATATCTATATTTCATATTCATGATCACCATGGTTGAGATTACCAACCCCTAAATTAGATCTAAATCCCATCTTTAATATAAATTTGGAAACAGGATAAATCTAAATAGACGAGTTTCCTTGCACATTAATGATTATATCCGTTTCCATGACTTTTTATAAAGGTAAAACACAATAAAGATGAGGATGTAAAAAAATACTATGTGCAACTTGGATAATCAAAGAACCACTTAGGATAATCATTACTAGCATGTGTTCAACCCCAGCACAGACTAAATAAATGACACAAGTATAGGGCTAAGGGGTTACATCAAACACCTATCGTATTCAAAACATATATATATCATCTTTCATATTCATTATCACCATGATTGAGATTACCAACCCCTAAATTGGATCTAAATCCATCTCTAATATAAATCTTGGAAACAGGACAAATCTAAATAGATGAGTTTCCTTGCACATTAATGATTATATTCGTTTCTATAACCTTTTATAAAGGTCCAGCACAATAACGATGATGATGTAAAAAATACTATATGCAACTTGGATAATCAAAGAACCACGTCATCACTAGCATGTGTTCAACCCCAGCACAGTCTAAACTTTATTTAGTGAAGCCCTATGAATAGGTCCATATCAACACTCCTACCCGATGGGCACTGAAGGACCGTAAAAAATTGTCGCACCAAACACGATTCTGAACTGGCCACCACCGACTTTGCGTGTCGGCCTTAAGAGTCCAGCTTAAGATTAGCTTTCTTTTCTTATTCTCATTTTATTTCATATCTATTTTCAAAACCCTTTCTATATTTCCCCCTCTTTTAATCGGAAAACTCGTTCCTATGGCTTCTTGTAGACTTTCAAATTTCTTGTCCCTCAAGCCAGTACTTCCGGTAATTCATGGGGGTACGGTCTCACGACCAATTCCTCATTCGGGTTGCAATTAGATGGGACCCTTATCCCTACCACTGATCAATGAGTTTGCACGGGAAAACGGGGCAGAGATCGCGCTTGCTCTGCTTAATTTTTTTCTTATAAACACATGTCCAAGTCTAAATCCAAAGATTGAAGAGGATTGCTTGAACCAGGGAAACATTCAAGAACAAATTGGTGAGGAAACCATCCTAGGTAAAAACTTCGTTTCTAAATCCTTTCCAAATAAAATCTACCACGTAAACCTACAGTCATAAAAAACTTTAAGAGTCAATGGTGTAATGGGAATATAATTAGCCAGAATTTTCTTCCATAAATCTTTATGATACTTCAGATAAATTGGTACAATGATAATCACAGGGGGGGACCTCTCAACTTGCACACCTCAAAGTATTGGAATTTGTGTCTTATAGGTTTTGCTAGTGGTACCTTCTGTACCTTATCTTCTTAAATTCAATTGAAAGTTAACACCAGACCAAGGTGAACCAATATGACTCGCCGGGGACCTCTCAACTAGCACACCTCAAAGAGTTGGCAATTCAAGTCTTAAGGGTCGTAAGAGTGTCACCATCTCTGTTTTGGTGTTAGATAGTTAAGCAAATAATCTTCATTTTTAATCTCTGGTGTTTCATGTGTCGGTGCTCACCTATTTCTCGAATAACAAAATAAGCGCCAAAGAAGGGTAACTTTAGACAACCCATTAAATATTGGCTAAGGAAAATCCCAAGAAACCATAACCTAAACAACTGTTAAAAACACAAAAGACAGGAAAAAAAATCCCTATCTATTAATCATTATCAACATGTATGTATAATACAAATAGAAGTAACTTACACAACAAGATATATTACAGGAACTTTTTATACATGATATATAAAATAAATACAAGATCTTCGACTATCTCTACACTCCCCCTCAACATATATATATAATAAAACCATATGTAACTTGCACAGCAAGATAAATTACAAGAAGTAACTTTCTGTACATGATACATAAAAATAAATACAATATCTTGAACTATCTCTACACTCCCCTCAAACTGAGGCTAGTTAAACAACATCAGTTTGTCAATGAGATAATCATAACGAGAACGGATTATTGCCTTAATAAAAATATCCGTAAATTGTTGTTGTGAGGTAGTATGTGGGAGTGTAATTTCTCCGGCCAGAATTGTTTCACGAATGAAATGACAATCAACTTTGATATGCTTTGTGCGATCATGGAACACTGGATTTTATGCAATGTGTATGATAGTTATCAACATACAATGGTGTAGGAGTTTGATGAAGAATATTGAGGTCATGTAAAAGACCTCTCGACCAATTTCACTTCAAGTTGAGGACATTGCTCGGTAGTCAATTTCTACAGAAGATTTCAACACAGTTTGTTGTTTTTTACATTTCCATGATATGAGAGAATGTCCAAGAAATATACACCACCTAGTGGTTGAGCATCGAGTATATGGGCAACTTACCCAATTCACATCAGCATAGACTCGTAACTGGAGAGAAGAGTTAGAGGGGAAGAATAGGCCTCTATGGCATGTACCTGCAGATAACGAACGATGGACAACCAAGAGGTGGATACGACGGGGATCTGCAACAAATTGGCTGACGACCTGTACTGCATGAGATATATTAAGACGAGTCATTGTGAGATAAAGTAGACTACCAACCAGTTGTCTATAGAGAGTGGGATATGGAAGTTTGTCTCCATCATCCTTTCAATATTTTACATTCACTCCCATTGGTGTATCCACTCATTTATCCTCAGATAAGTTGGCCAGTTTGATCAAGTCTTTGGTGTACTTCTTTTGGTTAACTATATATCCCTTAGGGGAATAATGAATCTCTAAGCCAATGAAGTAAGTCAACGGACCCAAATATTTCATTTTGAATGAGTGACTGAGAAGCTTTTTTAAGTGTTGTATATTATCAAGGTTGTCTCTTGTGATGAGAATGTCATCAACATATAGGAGAATGACTGTTATCCCTGAAGAATAATGGTGAGTAAATAGCAAATAGTCATGATCACTTTGTTTCAACCCAGCGTTCAGAATGGCCTGTCGAAACCATTCAAACCAAGCTCTTGGAACTTGTTTTAAACCATACAAGGGTTTGTTCAAGTGCCAATACCCTAAAGGAGGTCGCATATATATTGTCTCTTTTAAATATCATGAAGAAATGTATTTTTCACATCCATCTGAGATATAGTCCACTGACAAATAGTTGAGAGGGCAACTATTGTACATACAGTGGTCATTTTAGCAACATGATCAAATGTTTTATCATAGTCTATGTCATACTCCTGTTTGTAACCTTAAGCAATTAGTCGTGCTTTATATCGCTCAATCCTTCCATCTGATTGAAGCTTCACATAAAAGACCTATTCACTTCCAATAATACATGTGTGATGAGGGCACGGCACAAGATCCCAAGTGTCATTTCCAACAAGGCACTTATTTCTGCATCCATGGCCTCTTTTCAACATGGCATAGTCAAAGCTTGTTAGTAGGTGGAAGGAATATCAACTGAATCTAAAAGGGCAAATAATGAACTACGAAGTAAACAAAGATTTAGGTGGTTGGAAGGAATCTCAATAGTATCAAGAGAAGTAAGCAAAATTCTAGGTTGTAGCGAAAAGTTAAAATTATCAAAGGAAAAGCCA